ACCTACCTTTAATGGAGTTTGCCTACAATAACAGTTTCCAATCGAGTATTGGCATGGCACCGTTTGAGGCCTTGTATGGCCGACCGTGTAGATCTCTTGTGTGTTGGGCTGAGGTGGGTGATGCACCTTTGTTGGGCCCGGAGTTAGTGCGAGAAATGACGGAGAAAGTAGCACTTATCCGTAAGAGGTTGGTTACAGCCCAGAGTCGCGAAAAGAGTTATGCCGACCATAGGAGGAGACCCTTGTCATTTGAGGTTGGTGATCACGTCTTTCAGAAAATATCACCTAGGCGGGATTTGATGAGGTTTGGGAAGAGTGGGAAGTTGTCCCCTCGGTTTATTAGCCTTTTGAGATCCTTGAGCGGATTGGGGAGGTTTCATATCGTTTAGCTTTACCGCCGCAGTTGTCCAGAGTGCATGACGTGTTTCATGTTAGTATGCTTCAGAAATACGAGCCGAATCCATCGCATGTATTGGATTGGACCGACTTAGAGGTAGACGAGGATGCCTTGTATGAGGAGAGACCGGTGCGGGTCTTGGATAGACGGGACCAAGTCTTGCGAGGCAAGACCATTCGCTTAGTTAAGGTATTGTGGAAACATCATGGGGTTGAGGAAGCCACTTGGGAACATGAATTGGAGGTCCAAGAAAAATATCTGGACGTATTTGTGAATGTTTGAGCTTATCTCGAGAATTTTGTTTTGTTGATAAACTCTAAGAACATTGTATATGTTTCGGATTATGGAAGTATTGAAATTGCTGCATATGTTTCAAAAAATGAGTTTAATTTAACATTGTATATGTTGAATGTGTTGTAGAAATGAAAATATGTTTTTAACATTGCATATGTTATGGAATTGTAGAGTATGTGTATTGGAATTTGTTGAAATTCAAAAGAATGCATGTTGAAAATGCATATTGAGCTATATTTGTAAAGTTGCTCTCTTGAGAAGAGATTGAATGATCGGTAGTGGATCATGTTGAAAAGGTTGTATTGTAATCATGTTGAGAATTGAAAAGATCACAATTTTGAAACTTATATATCTAATTTCGGGGACGAAATTCTTTAAGGGGGGAAGGTTATAGCGATCCCGGTTTTTCTCCCATCATATAATGTGTTTCGGACTCGGTCCCGTGGGTGGTTGTTGTCGTCGTCTATGTGGGTGTTTGGGAAGTGGGTTTTTATGTAGGTTTTTTTAGTTGTAGGATATTATTGGAGAAATTTTTTTTTGTGTTTGGGAAGATAGTTGGGATTTTTTGTGGTTGGATGTGATGTTTGTGAGAGAAAAAATGAAATGATTATGGGGTTGGATGTGATATTTTGTTTTGATATGTTTTTTTTCTTTTTTTTTTTTTTCTGTTTTGCAAAAAGTTTGTCTTTTTGTGAAAAAAATCAAAAAAAACCCAAGGCCCAAACTTCCCAAACACCACTTATATCTCTTTTTAGTAAGCTTAATAAATGTATTAGGTTACTAAAAAGTCATAAATGACACGTTATTGAATCAAAATTTCTCTTTTAGGCAATAAAATATTTTTGTTTCAAGTGTCAACTAAATACCGAAAAACAAAAACAAAAATATTTTTTCTATGTCAATAAGATACAAGCCAACTTTATAGACCCATTTTTTAGATCTAGTAATATGTCAATAAGATGATTGGTTTGATGATTAGAGAATAAATGAGAGAACGAATTGACTTAAATATTTCAATAAAGTATCATATCATTGAATTTAGAAAGCAAGTCTAATTTTTTGGTCTAAATGGCAATGCTCTTTTTGTTTTGTTGGATACAAGCATGATAGTACTTAACAGTAATGCATAAAAGCTCTGAAAACAACTCAAGCTCTAACAATGGCCTCAATCACCATTGAGGATCTCCATCTTTTCCACACAGCAGACAGAGAAATATTCTCTAGTGTCACGCCCCAATTTTTAACTACTCGGAAATATTACCAAAGCCTTTAAATTAAGTCCATTTTTTTTTTACAGACATCCATTATCCTTGAGTAATACAAGTACAATGATACATGTTCTCTCTCTCTCTCTCTCTTAATGAATATTACAATGACAATAATACATGCCAATCTCCTACTGTGCTACAAATAAATAAATACAAATACAAAATCCATGTCCTTTACATCTACTATGAAGTTACACAAAGGGACTCAAGGACTCCATAAATCTTCAATCAAAGAATCCAAACTTTCTTCCTGTAAAAAGATAAAACAACAACAGAGTAAACACTAATGCCCAGTAGGAATCGCATTGTTCTAAATCAATAACCAACACACAGATAGAAATGATCATGCATGCAGGGTGATACCATATAGTAGGGTGACATTTTGTAATTTCAAAATACCATACATAGAGTGTCTTTTTCTCAAAATTCATTTAAACATTTAAGGAAAACCTTCACCCATCAAAACTATTCCTTTTCATTAGAAAACCATAAGTCCTTTTTAAAACATTTATGTTTAAGGAACCACATCATTTTATGTTTATAAACTCTTTCCAAAATATTTCTCATTTGATTTCCCATTTCTAATATTCCACTTTTTCTTTCATTCTTCTTTTCTACTCATTATTCTTATTTAGAACCCCATAACTTCAAGGTCAAGTTCCCTTTGACTCACTAACAATTCTCCTATACTTAATTCACACCGTTAATTAGACTCTCAAAATCTCACTTCGAGATAACACAAGATTAACAACCCTTTTCAATTCAATCCTTCACTTACTCATAATTTACCTTTATTGTCACAACTAATTCATTATGTTCACCATCACCAATCTATACTCCCCTTATCCATTTTTGGGTTCCATTCTTTACAAATAATGTCTATGTATATTTTCTCTTTATACCAAATTACACATCAATTTGCAATTTCACAAATTCATCACAAGTCACAAATAACATTAGCAACTCAACACACTTCTCAACACATATCTCAACACAATCCACCTTTTGCTGACTTACTACGGCAGGATAGCGGACACCCAATTCATAACACTTTTCACCTTTCACCGGCTACTATACGGCGGGAAGTGAACTCCCAAAAACCATTTTCTTCCAAAAACCATATCTTTTTCCAAAAACCATTTTTCAGCTTTTGAAACCATCCCCCACATTTGCCGGCTACTATACGGCGGGATGTGGGCACCCAAAACATTTTCGAAAACCATCCATTTTTCCAATTTTGTTGGCTACAATACTGCAGGACTATGTGGACACCCAAAATTCATTTTTCCACTTTCACCAGCTACTATACGGCGGGAGTGTGTGGACACCCAAAAATATTTTCCCACATTCGTCCAGCAATAAGCCTAGACAGGGCAATTGGGCACCTTTAATTCAAACCACCCCCATATTTGTCAACTACTATACAACGGGACGTGGGCCCTCAAAAATCTTTTTCTTCAATTGTTAAAACCATCCCCCACATTTACCAGCTATTATACGGACGGTCGTGGGCACCGAAAAACCATTTTTCAACTCCCCGTGCGGGTGCCAACTCAACACACCCAACACAACTTAACCCAAATTCAATACAATTCAACATAACCAACACACTTTAACATAATCAATACAATTCAACATAATCATCACAATTCAACATAATCAACACTATTCAACATGTTTCAACTCAACACCACTAAATATAATTCAACACAATTCAAGGTGAACTCTTAAATTTTCCTTTCATCATTTCATCCCAAGGCTCATGTCATCCATATCATTAATAAATCATTTTCCCAATCTTCATTTCACACTATAGCATGATTTACAATGTCCATAATAAAGGTTCATTCGCTAATTTTTAACATAATTTTCAAACACTTCCAAAATTCAATTAAACTTGTATATATGCAACTCAATACCTCAATTTCATGATTCTACTTTCAATTTGGGCAAAAGCATTAATTATCATCATGAATCAACTTAGTGTTTTTAAGAAAAATTAAAACTTCTCACACCACTACTTTTAATTACAATTTTCCCCTTGATTATACACCTAAGGTTCATAATCCACAAGCTTAACCCAACAATTGAACCCCAACTTTTCAAACCCTAAACCCCCAAATTCGATGATATAACACTATATACTCAAAAATGGAGATTTTGTATTTATATAATCAAAATACCACAAATCTATCTATAAATACAAGTATTGAAGAAGAACTAGGACCCCTACCTCAAGATTGGAAGCTAAGGGTGAAGACCCATCCTCAAACTTCAGTGAAATCACAAAATAATCAGTCAAAATCTTGATCCTTGCTTGTTCTTCAATCTTGATGCAAGATCCATGGTGGATTTGTTGGTAAAAATGGATGAAATCAAAGTTTTGGGGCTAGGTTTTCGGACATGGAGAAGGAGAGAGGAAGAAAGGATGAAAAAGTGAAGTTTTTAGGCCAAAATGTCACTTTATAAAGTTTGTTAGCGACCTGGTCGCTCAAGCGAAGGAAGCTTGGCTCGAGCGTGGAAAAGAAGCTCTCAGGTTTCTGAAAAATGCACTCTTCGATCGAGCGAATAAAGTCTCGCTCGAGCGAGCATGCTTCCAGCATAGAAACTCAAAATTCAAACAGGTGTTACTCTCTCGTTCAGACTCCGTTTTAGGTCGTTCTTGTGTCCAAATTGAAGCCCCGGAAACAAGCTTTCCAATGGTTCTGGCCTCACATTCAAATTCAAAGTATGGAAGGAGAAAAAGGGCAAAAGAGTGAAGGTTGGTCAAAAACTCAAACTCAAACTTGGGGCTTTTTATCTAATCTTACCTAAATACCTTGTTAAAGCTTCAATCAAGGTTCCAAACATCACCCAAGGGTCCTCAATTATAATATTTAGAGTTCACTTTCCAACCTATCAATATCAAGAGTCCGACAACCATACAAGTTTTAAGGTGACTAGCACCACTTTACATCAATCTAATGTGAATTAAAATCCGAGTCATTACATCTAGGCTCATCATGCACCTCATGTGAGATCCAGGACAGTCTCTCCTAGTAATGGACCTATGGCTCTGGCTAGAAGTGAAGAGATTCCCAAACATCATAGCAAAATTGCTCAACAGATCAGATTTCATCCTTAACGTCATGGCCGACGAAGCCACAACCTGTCTTCAAGTTCTCGAGTCCAAAACCGCCTTCTCTTCCCCTTCCGGATCCACCATGTCAGTCACAGCCAAAATCATAGGAAAACCCATCTCTGTCCCCATGATCACCCATATCAACTTCACCGCCATAATCAAAATCAAAACCTTCCTCAACAATGTTTGTTCCCTAATTTTCACAGACATTTTACAACAGGTTTTGGGTTCTCTTAATCAGCCACTTCCTGTTATGAGTTTTCCTCATCTGATTTTCAGGAATATAACGGTTATTTCACTGCCCCTCAGCCATCACTTGCCAACCGAAGGGCTGTGGGGTTGGTCGCATGAGATTAAAGTTCTGGTGGATGATCGAGCCATGTTCTTGACTTTCTCAAGAGGGTACCCAGTTAGTGAAAGTGAAGTTAAGGAGCTTTTTACGGGGTGTTTTTGTGATTGTGTCGACAATGTTGATATGGATGAGTCTAACTCGGTTGATCAACCTTTGTTTGCTCGAATGATAGTTCGTGGTGTTTCGATTGTGGATGACATTTTGAAGGGGAGCGACATTGCAAAGTTTTAGATCAATGGGAAGCATGTTTGGGCAAAAAAGTATGAACACCGAGACGGTTGATGATGAGCAATTGCTAGGTCTGAATTTGTCTTTTTTTTTTATTTACCCAAAAAAAAATCAAAATTGAAAAAGGTTAAAAACAGACAAATAAGTCAAAAAATTAAGTAGGCTTTTTAATTTTAGTCAAATGAAATATCTCTGTCTTGAATTTCATTTTCACTTCCTTTTGCATCCACTTTTCCCTTAATTTTTTTTTCCTTCTTATTCCCTTCATAAATGCATTTTCTATTCCTTTATGTGAATTATTTCTTCTTCTTTTTTATCAACAAAAGAATATTTATTGATGAGTACAAAAAAATTACAAAGTGAATTATTTCTTTTCTAAAGACACTCACTGTACTGCACTTGTTGCTTCAAGCGAGAGCCCCTGTTTCACATCAACGATCCAGCTTCCCCGTGATTAAGGCCTGGTGTTGTGCACCGTGGAATTCTAGATTTACTATGAAATGATGAGCCATTCATTTTATAATTTTTTCATGCCTAGAACATCTATTTAAAAAAATTAAATCAATTTGATAATAATAAACACAGTTATGATTTTACTATGTTTTTTTAGATGATCTAGTTATTCGATGAACGTTGTGGTCTCTTTGAGGCAGAAAATCTCAATCCAATTTTCTTATATTTTTTGAATTTTATATCACTTAAAATATACATGTCATTTTGTGATTAGTCCAATATTTAATTTACATAAATTAAGTTAATTTTTATATCCTTTTAATCATTTCCAATATTATTTTCTTAAATTTTGTGATTGCAAAACAAGCAATGACATAATTACTATTTTAATTTCAATGGTTATGGTATAAAATCTATATCAATATTTATACTTCTATCTATATACTATTATATAGGTAAAAATATAGTTGAGTCAATGAACTTAAAACTTCTAATCTATTTTTTTTAAAAAAATTTAAATTAATAAAATATAAAAATACATAAAATCATTAGTCATTTTACTTTGATTATAATTATTGACCGTTTAATTATTATGATAACATATTTTAAATTCAGTAATTATTACATTTGAAATTAATGTATAGTTCATTTATGATATTGATATGGCAAATAAATTAGAATTTTAAATTATAATAACAATAGAATACTATTTCACCAAATATAGTTTATTTATGGTCTAATAATAAACATGAATCCATACAATGTATATTAATCATAACCTATTAATGTTAATTTTCAAATTTTATTGTGCCGAGTTATATTTTTTTTGGTTCAAATTTTACATTTATTTATTTTTTTTAAAGTCTTACAAACTTTTTTTGTTTTAATTTTTTAAAAGCTAAGAAATATATTTGGCATAAAACTATTGGCACATCTAGCTATATATCTAATTTGAAAATCTTTTAAATGGAAAGTCCAAAATAAAATTTTATTCATAATTAAGCCACATCTCATTTGAAATTTTGGTATACTTAAAAATTAAAATATGAAATTTAATGTTATGGTCGCATTTGGTACTATCTAATGGAACATCTTAACAACAATAATTACATGTGCCATATGATGCCCATTGAATAATGTGAGATGTTACAATACATAGTATCAAATTTTGATATCAAAATATAATCGCATAATATTACTTCTTTTAAAAATCTATATATGGAGTGTAAAATCTATCCTTAAGGTATAAATCGTAATAGACTTCATTGTCAATATTAACTGTAGTCAAACACTACAACAAAATGCACTTTTGGCGACCAAAATTGACGACTAAAATTTTTTTTAGTTGCCATAAGTACAATATTTAGCTATTAATTTTTTTTAGTCGGGATATATTGATTATTGGCAACTAAAAAATTTAGTTGCTAAAAATACCAGAATTGGCGACAAAAAAAAAAATTTTAGTCGCCGTATATTGAGTTTTGGCTATCAAAATCATTTAGTCGCAGAATGTAAAATAAAAAATTACTTTTTATATTTGGCGACCAAACAAAAACATATTTTCAGCGACAAAAAATTAGTTTAGCCACCGTATGTTGCATTTTGGCTACTAAAATCATTTAGTCGCCGAATGTAAAATGAAAAAATATTTTTTATCTTTGACGACCAAAAGTTTGGTTGCCAAAAACATATATTCAGCGACAAAAAATTAGTTTAGTCGCCGTATGTTGCATTTTGGCTAGTAAAATCATTTGGTCGCCAAACACATATTTTCAGCGACAAAAAGAAATTTTAGTCGCCAAAAACTAAAATATTTGGAGGGATTTATTTCAAATTTTGGAGGGATTTATAAAACTAATTGGAAACTAAATGAGATTTAGTCACTAATGGTGTAATATATATATATATATATATGGTTCTATACCACAAACAGCGCCTCTGTCTCTCTATTCACGTTTCTGCCTCTCCCTCTCCCTCTCCCTCTCCCTCTCCTTCTCCTTCTCCTCTGCTCCTCTCCCCCTCTCTCATCGCCGCTTCACCAGCCGCGCCTCCACCACTCCACTTTGCCGTCGCGGGCAATCGGAGCACCGAGCACCGATTCACCTAGATTTGTCCTATTTTCTCTCTAAACTCCATAGCCAATCATGAAATTCAGATCTACACGACACTACCCATTTCAAATCTTCCATTGAACTGAGCCTCAATAGCGAATCTCGTGGTTCTGGTGGTGGTGATTTTGGGTTTGATCAATGGTGGGTATTGCCAAGAAACGGCCCAAGAAGCTCCATGGAGAATCTGCACGTTGTTCTCTGTGGAGTGCCACAACTACTTGTTCAGGTTTAGTTCAGTTCTTCAAAAAGTGGTGCTAGATCTTTATATGTGTTTTTATTCTCATCAGTTTTGTATGTAATTATGTTTTGTTGTTCTTTTCTTTGGTGTTTATCCCTATCTATGCATAGAAAAGAAGGAATAAAGCATATATGATATTCATGCCTACCAGATATTTGACAAAATGCCTCAAACTATGGTGGTATTGATTAAAACGTATCGGAATTGTTGTTCTACAATTTAATAGACTGACAAAGGTATTAGTTAAAAGTGGACTAATATGGATGAAGTTTTTTGGTTTAGGCGTTTCTTAAAAATCAATTCTTGGGTTTGTAGCTCCTTTGTGTTAAGAGTTCTGAAAGGGCTTTGTGCTCACATATTGGGCTCCAAACCCATGGCTCATTCCAAAAGGTACTAGTATTGAAAATTCACTTCATTCTTGGGTTGCTTTACATCTGTATATAGAAGTTAATATAACAATTCAAAAAATAATTCAACTTTGGTCAGTTTATGAATAAAAAATTGGGCACTAGTCATTATGATGTACCTTAGTGGATGTTGACTTATCAAGAATTCATAATGGTCCATACTTGGAAAATGCAGTATCCTTGTCGTAAAAAATGGTGTCTGTAAAAAATTTAGTAGAAAATGGTGTCTATAAAAAAGGAATTTTATGCCTAATTTGATGTCATTATCCTTGTCGTTCTGTGATGACCGAGCGTGTCTCTAGTTTCGCTCTCCCTCATTTAACCTTGAATTTACTTTGATAGGGTGTCGGGTTATTTTGGAGCCTTGTTGAGTGTTTGGGGTTTGAATTGTTTGGAGGGTTTGCGATGGCCGGGTCTCTTTCTCTCATTCTTTTCTTTCTTCTTGACTTCATTCTCTTTTGTTCTCGTTGGAATTGAAACATTCAGAAATTTTCTTGAATTAGGATCCTTGTTCTTGTGGTGTTCGTCGTTAGATCTCATTAGTTCCGGGAAGTGCAGGGTCAGGTCCGGAGCGCCTGGAAGGGAAGGGGAAAATTTCTGGGTTGTTGGGCCAGGGCCGCACGTACGGGGGACGTGCCCGCAAGTGCGGGAATGAGCGTGTTGGGGGAGTAGCACACTGCCTAAAAGGCACATGCGAAAGGAGGTGCGGGAGGAGCCCTGCACGTGCGGGGATGAAGGCCACACGTGCGGGAAGGGGCGCTCCGCACGTGCGGGGATGGGTGCCGCACGTGCGGCACTCTAGTAGTCTGAAAATTCTATTTTTTTTTTTATCATTTTGAGGCCGAAAATAACTCATTTTCTAACCTCTCTCTCTCACTCTAAAAGCCTTTTTCCTCCTCCTTCTCTCTAAAAATCCTAACCAAGGCACCAAAAACCTTTGATTCTTGCATCATTGGGTTAGATCATCATCATCTCTCACAACCTTGAAGATCTAGAGTAAGAGTTTCACTTGTGGTGGTGGAGATCAAAACTCTCTCTTTCATTCTTAAATCTTAGGGCTTCTACTCCATTTCTCCATCAAACTTGAGGTAGGGAAACTTCCTTGAGTTATATATATATATATATATTTATGTTAGATTTGGTAGATTTAAAGGTTCCATTAATGATGTTGAAATGTTTGGTCTTGATTCATAAATGCTAGGGTTTTCAAAAGTGGGTTTGATTTCCCTTCCTCGTAAACCATTTTCTTAAGGTTTTTTAAGTCACATATTAGGTGGTGTGTTATCCTGATAGAATACTCTTTTAAAAGAGGGGAGGGGTGTTTGTTTTGATTTTGACATAAAACCCTAGAAATGTTGGGGGATTTTTGAACGATGCAAACATGTTCAAAGGCATCTTGTTGTTTTAAAATTAGAGAGTGAGACTTCATCATTGTTTAGCATAAATGGTAATTACCGAGTGTATGAGAAAAGTGTTATTTATCTTAACATTATTGTTGAACATTTGAAAGTGCATTGTTGTAAAAATAACAAATGGTTGTGCACCTCGGTTAAAGAAAATTGTAAACATTGGAATTGATGATAGAAAGACATCACATGTAGTCTTGATGAAGGCCACCTTGTAGTGAATTGAGCATGAAAAGGATGTTGTTTTTGCAAAGAGTTGATGGCATGGCCATTGTGAAATAATATTCAGGAGAAGAAATGGATAATGTAGTAAATTGGTATTGTTGTAGAGATGTTTGAAATAGAGGAAATGCTATTAGCCATTATGTAGTGCATCATGTTCTCATTG